TCCAAAATGTCGTATATCTTTATTAATTTGAACCAGAAAACACAAAGGAGTTGCAGCAGTTTAAAGAATAGAGAGCCAAAAGGAAGAGAGACAGAACCTGCCGGCGACAACGCGGAGCAACCCAGGGTGAATGGAAAGTTCTGGTCTCAACAACAAACTACTTGCTATTCTGCTCACCAGTTTATGAGGCAGGACAGCGAGGTAGATAGTAATTTATGGTGTGGCCCACTTTAGACAGTCTGTTCTAAGCTAACGGCTAACAGTGATATATGCACGGCGGCTCACAGCGACCACTATATTTCACTCACGAACGCTTCTTACTTAGATTTCAGTTTCTGTTGAGTGAAACTGCGGGTGTGTAAATTTATGGCTCTGCAGTCAGACCGTTCCCCACAAGGCGTTCAGGGCAGAGAGTTACATGCAGGACATTGTAAGAAAAAAATAGAACCCAATAGGGGTGCAGGAAAAAATCGATTCTTAGATGCATTGTGATGCAGACGTGAATGATTCTGAATCGATTCACAAATGTCAAAAATCGATTTTCTAAATATTTAATTTATAATGTAATGTTGACAGAACGCAAAGGTTGGAACTTGGAAGTGGATAAGTGCAGCGCCTGGACACTGCGTGACAAAACAAAAACACTATTGGATGAGCGAGAAATCCGACCGCCTCCCTCTGCATTAAAGCCAGGCCTTTCAACAGAAATCAAACCACCTTAGGAGCTGCAACATTTAATGTCCAGTAAGTCTCAGTACGTGATAATGTCCTAGTTTAGGCTAAAAAATATAAACGAGAGCTCAGATTTACTTCGCTCTGCTTTAAGCTTTAGCTTTAGCCACTTTTCTTCCAACTCCGCCAGAAAACTTTCCTCAAAAGTTGAATAGTTTCTTGTAAAACGTCTCTCAGCATTTTACGAGGCTGAAGTTGCTTCTCACTCGCCAGCTTCTTGCTGAACTTTCCTGTTCCACCTTAAATTCTGACTGAGGCGCCGAATGTAAATGCAGCACCATTTAAGGTGGAATGGGAAAATTAGAAAGAGAATTTCAGTGTTTGACAGTCTCTCGTTGCAGATTTAACATACCAGGAAGCCAACTGTGCTGCTTATAAATGCGAAGAAGTTAATTAGTCTCCAAATGTTCATCTTTCTCTTTTCCTTTTTTGTTCGCTACAAGCCAGGCGAAACCTTGTTGCCACGTGACCTGCAGTCTGCACGCGAGTTCTGAGTTGTTGCGAAACAGGGCTTTAATGTGCTGCGTGGACATCTATTACCACTGGATCTTATTTCACCATAACAGCGTATTTTATCGCAGATGAGTGGCAGCAGCGTCTCCAAACAAGAGCAGTGAATGAGAGCATTCCAGTTCACTTGCCACATCACTTCCATTTGTTTTATTAATAAAAGATATTGGACGTAAATTATGGATTATGGATCATTACAAATACTTTGCTTTAAAACTACGAAGTCCTCAGACAGTAAGAAAATAGAAATCATGTATAGAAAAAAAAGGTGTATCGAGATGCATCAATAATCGTTTTATAATCGCATCGCAGCCCACTGAATCGTAATCGAACTGAATCGTGAGGTGCCTAAAGATTCCCACCCCTAGTACCCAAAGAAAACGTATTTTTTCTATTTCACAGTATTTTACCATTCTCAATGTGATATACAGAAACGTACAAGGCTACGTTCACACAGCAGGTAAAAGTGGCCCAAATCTGATGTTCTCACCAAATCCAATTTTTTGGCTGTTCACATTATATTTTAAATGTGATCTGTATCTGACATCAGTCTGAACAGATCAGCTCCTAAACTGACCCGCATGCGCAAAAGAACAAAGCTTCACGTGGCTCATCCAGAGGTAAACAATCATGACGGCTAGCGAACGCCTGTCGCCTTAAGATTATCACAGCAACAACAAACCCCTAGCCCTGGATAGCTGTATTCCTCAGGGTCTACTTACACAAGGTTTATGCAGGACGTTGCTCCATCTGTTGGTGGGCGAATGTAGCATTTGGATTTTTGCTCAGACATTCTTATTGGTATAGCTGGCATTTCTGCCTGAACTGGGAATTAAACCTTCTGTATGAGGACGATGTTGCTATTGTCCACCATGATATCTAATAGGCTCATGATTCACTCTTTCTGATCTAGTGGTTACTGGAGGCAAGAGATACCAAGACTTGGGATCTAGGAGCTTCTATCACACTTAAAAATGTTGATTGTGAGATTGCAATTCATTTACTCATTTAAGGAGTAGGATTTCTGCTTCCACTTGTGAAGTTTCTTCGGATAATAAAGTTTGAAAGTTCATCAATATAGCAGAGCGAAGCTGAAAAGAGGTGGAAGAATAAGAGAACATTCATCCAGGAACATTCAGTACATTTATTCTCTCTGCAGCCATTGGTACAACACTTGCGTTAAAATCGCAAAGCCTTGTAAAATCTTGCTCTGGAGGTGGAAAGGAGTTGTGTGGAGCCTGTGGTAGAATCTGAAACTAGTACCTGTTCATCAGATAATGATAAGAAAGTGCTGCTTTGCTCCTTGTGTCTTCAGTTCAGCTCAAAACCTTTTTTTTTGTTGCTGATTTTGTTGTTTTTGTCTTATATTTAGATATTATTGTTTTTGTAAAATGTACAATTGTAAAACATTTAAATGTGCACAACATTAAACAGATTCGGATTTAAATTCAGAGCACAGACAGGATGTATCCTGCCTTCCGCACAATGACAGCTGGGATAGGCCCCCCGCGACCCAGAAGGATAAGCAGTTTAGATGATGATATAAATGAACACAGTTTTATGACAGATAAATGCTCCAAAATGTAGAGCTACTGCCTTTTCAGAACTGTGTGGGCGTATCATATCACATAATGACCGACAGTGGCATCTCCCTGGCAAGGTAACACAGTTTGACCCCCTTTTGAGCTGCCTTTTGGAGATGCCTCGCCTTGCAAGATCTTGCCATGCTCTTACATGTGCAAGCATTTAAAGTTCCAGTCTCTGAATGTTGCAGCAAAGTTCTGTGCACTGCTTTCACTTTTCCAAAATAAAAAGTGGCCTACTCACAAATGAATATCTTTTTTGCACTTGAAGATCCTTTGTTCCTTTTTGGTTGTGGTGCAAACAACTTGGCAACATTCATATTTTTGTGTCAATTATTTGCATAGCATTTGTTAATGGCACCTGTCCAGTGTGTTTCCTGCCTTCTGCCCGATGACCGCTGAGATAGGCTCCAGCACCCCTGCAACCCAGAACGATAAGTGGCATAGATTTGTTAAAGGCCTTCAGTCTGAGTTTTTTTAATAAAAGGCAAGGAAAATTAAGAAATTGCTTCTTCGTTTGGCTCCACGCTTTCTCTATTCAACCCCCTCTTGTCTCCCTAGCTCCACCCCTTTGCTATCACCCCGTATGGTTTGTGTGCCATGCCATTTATAGTCTTATCTCTTGTATAAGTACCCCTATTGTTTCAGTGTTCCTTTGTCTGATCTTGCATGGTTGTAAGCGTGTTATGTTGTGGTTTCCCCATGGCTGCATCTGAAAATTCACAATATATACTGTGTGAGAATAGATATGTGTCCAGATAGGCAGCGTTCATCAAACAGCACACTGCCCTTTCCCAAGAATCCTCTGGAGTCGAAGAAGAAATCCAGGCTGAGGGATGTAATTTTATAATGGCGGAGAGCAGAGGGGACAGGAGAAAGAAAGGGGTGGGTATTAATTTTTGTGTGAAAAATGAGAAAAACGTATCTAATATATATATATATATATATATACCATTGCAGGCATCCTTGCACAATACAAATCGTCTTATTTAGAGCCAGCTCACCACTAAAGGCCACCACCAAAAATGGCATTTTTTAAGTGTCTGTAAATAAGAAATGTGCATTTTTGAGAATACATCATAAAATAAGCAGTTTGCAGTCTTTATCACCACTTATTGATTATGGTAAATGTGTTATTAATAATGAATTGCTATTTCTCCAGACTGCATTCATATCATTACTGTTGATATTTCCAATCTAAAGGAATTCAATCTAAATTAATATTGTTGGTATAATCCAATCTAATTTGAAGTAACTGAAATAGTGGTGCAACTGTTAAGTAGTCATGCTGATGAACAGCAGACAGACACAGTGTGCTGTGGTGCAGACACAGTTGCAGCTCTACATTCTCTTTAGGCTGGTTTGTCTTTGAGTCTTGTTGATGTCTTTTTGCTCTTTTTTTTTGTTTATTCTTATTGAATTCATCTTCAAATGTGACTGGACTGTCAATAAAACACAGAGACGTACCTCATAACTACCACAACCATGTTTAAAAGGAAAATCATTTTGGTAAGTAAAGCTCAGCATCACAAGTTAAAGAATGTGAAAGAAATAGTGGATGTAGTCTGTCCAAGAATGTGATGATACTTTGCACTTGCATACTGAAAGCACATAGTTCTTTATCAGTCAAGTAGTGCGTACTGGATTTAATTTAGTATGTACTGTATAAATATGCCATTTAGGATGTGGCACATAGTAGATTTTCCATTATACTTGTTTATTTTGCTGTTGAGTTCTTTTATGTACTGGAACTTGTGCATGTATTCTGCATACAAAGCCCCTCATTCATGACAGCAACATGCATGGGAAACTTTAGGCATGTAGTTATGAAAAACATCAAGCTAACGAAGAAATCTGAGAGCCAAAAGAATGGCTTTGATGAACAGACCAAAAAGACTTGAAACCCCCAACACTACTTTCTTTAGCATCTACTTTTGCTCGTGAGGAAAATTCTTAAGTCTGATGTGAAAAACTTCATGCAAAAACAGCAAAAATGATTCCGAACTCTCTTCAGATGTTTTTTGCAGTTACGTTTTTTTCTAATTTAGGCAGTATTTTACATTGGGCTCCTTTAAGATTAGTCATCATGTAAATGTAGCATCTGTCCCTCCCTCTGCCACTAGTACTTAAGATGAGACACTTGGGCTTGACTCCCATCTCAGATACAGATGAGACACAAGACGTAAGTAAGTCGTGATGGAACTAAATGAAAGTCAACTAAAATGAATTGTTTAAGTCGAATGCTAATACTTTAATGTTGTGTACTGTGGGCTGTACAAAAGAGATTACCGATTACTGTTTTTAGGTAAAATCCCATTGATTATTTAAGAAATAACAAAATTATAATTATTTTTTTTTAGAATCTCACAGAATGGGGTGGATGAGTTGTTATCTTGTCAGCTGTTGGATTTGGTGTTCCCTTCTGTCCATGGTGAATAATGAAGAACTACTGGAACTGGGCGGTCCAAGAGATTGCAAGAATGCTCGCTTTGTTCCTGGCTACAACCTGGGTGGAGAGGGCTTTGACGTTGTGAAGATGGAGCGAAAAAAGTCTTATGTCATCGACATGGAAAAGTGGAACATTGGGAACGGCAGCTGCAAAATGTACAGTAACCCATACCTGAACAATGCAAAGCAGAAGATACCTGCTGCTGTGGAGTTCTGGAGAACACTCCCAAAGTGTTCAATGAAGGTTTCCAGCAAGATATATGAATCAAGTGAAGCTCTGGTGCAAGAATCTACTTCGTCCATCTCAAACAACTGGAGAGCTGGACTCGATGTGATGTTTAAGGGTTTGGGTTCATTAGGAGGCACTCATTCCCGTGAAGCAAAATTCGGAATGAAGAAGTCAAAGGAGGACAATTTCAGTTTCACCAAGCATGTTGTTCAGTGCAGCTTTTACAGGTGAGCCATTCTGTTGTGAAATCAATTTAAATTGTAAAATAAATGAATAAATACAATAAAATGTTTCTCTGTGTACTCATAAATATGAATGCCTTCAAAATTCCTTCACAGCTACCAAATAGTATCCTCGCCCCCAGTGCAACGCAACTTTCTTAAGGCTCTGCAGTCTCTTCCCCGAAAATATGATCCACGCTCCTATAAACGCATTATCGACAAATTTGGCACACACTATACCACAGGAGTGGACTTAGGTGGGAGGATGAAAGCAGTAACCGCCATCAAAACCTGCAAGGCATCATTGAGTGGACTTACGGACACAGCGGTCAAAGACTGTTTGGATGTGGAAGCATCAGGCACATACAAGAGTGCCACTTTGAATACAGAGTCCAGATACTGTCAAAGCCTAAAGCAGAAAATGAGTACAAATGAAAAATTCAGCTCAATGTTTAATGACAGACAGACAGAGATTATAGGAGGGAACATCAATGGTGAGGATCTCCTTTTCTCCAAGAACTCACATCCATATGCTTTAAAAAAGTGGCTGAATTCCCTGAAGACCATCCCAGATGTGGTGACATACACTCTTCACCCCCTACACACCGTCCTGAACCAAAGGCACCCTGCCAGGAAGGGACTAAAGAAGGCAGTAGAAAATTATATCCGTGACAATGCCTTAAAAAAAGTTTGCTCCAGGTCCTGTAAGATAGGGCATAGAAGTAGAGGAAGAGATTGCTGTGCCTGCGTTTGTGAAGGAAGTCAAACTGTACTGTCCAACTGCTGTCCTACTGCACCAGGTCTAGCCACACTGAGGGTGTTTAATCTCCGAGCCAACGGTTTATATGGAGACACCTTTTCTAAAACAGATGGCTATGTAGAAATCACATACAGAAGCACATTCAAACGCACTGCAGTAATTACAGACAATGACAATCCCCGCTGGAGAGAATCATTTGAGTATGGCCCTGTCAAGCTGTCCACCAGCCAAAAAATCACTTTTAAAGTATATGATGAAGACACTCCTTGGAACAGAGACCTTCTTGGACAGTGCTCCTTTGACCTGAGAAGAGGACGAAAGACTAAAGTGTGTTACTTCCAGTACGGCACCTTCTTTTTCTCCTATGATGTAAAATGTGCTCCTAATCTGCAGGGTTCACACTGCACAACTTACAAACCTTCTCCGATGGCCGCCCCTCTGGCCAAAATATTCCAATCCAGAAACGGCATTCTGGCTAAAGATATGTGGAAGCTCCAGGCGGCCCAGAATTACTCCAATAACCTCTCTTTCGAAGGTTATTATGAGTAATACAAATCCCACGCAGCAGATATGATACTAAACAGCTTAGCTTGTCTTGCAAATAAAAATCTTATGTTTAAAACAAACAAAAAAAAACCTTTGGTTTCATATGTTATCCACTGCTTGCTGAATTTTTGATTGCCTTGCAAATTGTACTTTTTTTTAAATTAAAGCATCCACAAAGACGGACCTGAGTGACTTTTATTTCTTCAGAAACGTTTAATTACTTATATGCACAATTTAAAACATTTGTAAAAACTAATATTACATTGCTCTGTAGCCATCAAATGATGTATATTAATTTTGCCAGGTTCCACAGCAATTACATTATACTGTTCCTCTAGAAAGCATCTAAATGACCACCAGAAAAACAAACAAATGAATATATTTGCCTGCTCTAACCCAACCTATTCAGCAGATTTGTGATAGTATACAGTGGGAACAAAATATATTGACATGTGGTTCCTTAAGATAGTTTTAGTATGTGCATTTTTTTAAATATATAAGATTTTAACTGGAAAAGAGAAGAAAAGAAACACAATAAAAGAAAAACAAATAAATGCAAAGTGGTCAGAGTCAGAGCCAGCAGGTGAGCGGTTGCTCCAGGACCCACCCTTCAGGGGTTACAAACATGACCAGTAAACTTCAGCTTAAAATTCCAATGACCAAAAGGAAACTGATCATCAAAATAAGGGGCAGAGGGAATTTGACAGATTAGAAATATGGTTAGTTACCACTCCCTTTAGCATTAGGCTAAATACTATCCCTATCTGTTTCAGTGATTTCGAACCAGTAACACATACATCTAAAGCAGCACTACTCTCTGTAATCAATTTAAACACGAAAATGCAGCTCAGAGTATGAATGCATCAGGCCAACTCATGGACTCGACACCAGACAAGGGAAATGACGAAGGGGTGTAGGGTGGACATGGTGTTAAGACACCAAGCCCTGGTATTCTGTTTGGTTGTCCAGGCCTCAGAAAAAAACGTGCACAGTAGCATCCTAAGGCAGTGAGTTCTGGGTGGGGATCTACTGAAGTTGGGAAAAAAGACTGTTTCAGGGAAGCCATTTCTTATGTGTGATGGATTTATAGCTGAGGGAAAACAGGCTGGAAGCTGATGTGGGCAGGGATGTTTGGGCTGATCTGATTCTTCAGAAAGTTAACCTGGGGGTCGAAGTGTGGTTTTATACGTAAACATAGTGTGTGCGGATGTCTAGGGGCAAATAAAGGGTTTATACTCTAAGGTGATTGAATCGGCAGGGTCTTTTGTGGCATGGTGTGTATTAATGCCCATAGCATGGATCGCCTGAACATCTGTGAAAGCACGATTGACGCTAAAAATAGATATACATATTTTGAAGCAACATATGCTGGCTGTCAGACACCGTCTTTTTCAGGGATGTCCAAGCTTATTTCAACATGAGACAGGTGCCAGACCTGGCCTGGCTGTCTCCTACTGAAAACTCTGTGTCCTATTGAGTGCTTTATACAGTTGCGCTGTTGAAAACCTGTTTAACTTAAGAGTGGCAAAATCTTTTGCTTTCAAAACTGGATCAATTGGGATAGCTTTGGCATAAATCCATACAGACCAAGTCCAGCTTTTTCCAGCTGACCCTTTAGGCGGATACATCACTCACAACATTTCACCTTCCTTTTAACATCTGCAGCCATTCTCTGCCAATCTCTCTATGTAAAATGTCTCAGCAAGTCAAGGGTGACTATGGAGCCTAATGGAATGGAGGACATCAGGAAGTACAAGCTGTGGTTTAGGTTTCTGTTCCAAATATGTCTGTGGTACATCATCTTGAATTTCCTGACATTTGGCAGGCAAATATCTCATGCTGAAACTATATGTGGATAGAGCAGCCAGCCAGCATTCAAGTGCGTCCACATTGACTTGCATAAGCAATTTGCCATGTCTTCCCCTCATGTTCCTCCTTGGAGTGGTTCCTACAACTGCTGTGTTGGTATCAGTGTGTAAAACATACAACAGTTTGAGGTGAGCATAACCAATGACCAGGGAGGATGTTGACTTGTTGGCTTCACACTCTCAGTATGGTTAGTTGATAAACTACCACCTGAATCTTCTTACTCGAAAAAACAACAGTACTGACCACTGGTGACACTGCAAGAGACTCCACACTGTCAGAAAAAAGGTACTGTACAAGTACATCTTTGTTCATCATGATACAAACAGTTTAATTGTACCCTCAGAGGCAGAAACAATTCTACGATCAGAGCTTTAGGGCTGCTGAGCACCCAATGAGAATAGCCTTCCACCCCCCAAAAACAAATTTGAGAAAACTTCCTTTAATGCTGAGCCTGTGAGCCACAAAGTCATCACTTGGTTTACAAAGTACACACATACAGACAGTGCTAATCTAGCACCTTGGCTTTAATATCAACACATAGGCCTACCACATAACAGTGGACAATGGTTGATCTGACAACCGGCAACATTAGCTTGATAAAAAACAACTGATATAACATAAAGACTGACCTGTGATTCAGTGCACCAAATCCTCGTCTGCGCTACTTACTGGAGCCACTGCACCACAGATGGTCACACTGTAACTGTCTCAGCGCAGCTACTGCACGGCTTTGTGGAGAGCAGGGTGGGGGGAAGAGTATGAAAGTGGATCGTAACATTTGCTTATCAGAGACAAACATCTATTTTAAAAAAATACAACAAAAATGACTTTTTACTCTTACACGATATTTCCAAAAGTATTCACTCACCCATCCAAATCATTGAATTCAGGTGTTCCAATCACTTCCATGGCCACAGGTGTATAAAACCAAGCACCTAGGCCTGCAGACTACTTCTACAGACATTAGTGAAAGAATGGGTCGCTCTCAGGAGCTCAGTGAATTCCAGCGGGGTAGTGTGAGAGGACGCCACCTGTGCAACAAGTCCAGTCGTGAAATTTCCTCACTACTAAATATTCCACAGTCAACTGTCAGTGGTATTATAACAAAGTGGATGCGATTGGAAACGACAGCAACTCAGCCACAAATTGGTAGGCCACGTAAAATGACAGCACGGGTTCAGTGGATGCTGAGGCGCATAGTGTGCAGAGGTCGCCAACTTTCTGCAGAGTCAATTGCTACAGACCTCCAAACATCATGTGGCCTTCAGATTAGCTGAAGAACAGCGTAGAGAGCTTCATGGAATGGGTTTCCATGGCCGAGCAGCTGCATCCAAGCCTTACATCACCAAGCGCATTGCAAAGGGTCGAATGCAGTGGTGTAAAGCGCCACCACTGGACTCTAGAGCAGTGGAGACGTGTTCTCTGGAGTGACGAATCACGCTTCTCTGTCTGGCGATCCGATGGACGAGTCTGGGTTTGGCGGTTGCCAGGAAAACGGTACTTGTCTGACTGCATTGTTCCAAGTGTAAAGTTTGGTGGAGGGGGGATTATGGTGTGGACTTGTTTTTCAATGAAAGGAACTCTTAATGCTTCAGCACCAAGAGATTTTGGACAATTTCATGCTCCTAACTTTGTGGGAACAGTTTTGGGATGGCCCCTTCCTGTTCCAACATGACTGCGCACCAGTGCACAAAGCAAGGTCCATAAAGACATGAATGAGTAAGTTTGGTGTGGAAGAACTTGACTGGCCTGCACAGAGTCCTGACCTCAACCCGATAGGACACCTTTAGGATGAATTAGAGCGGAGACTGCGAGCCAGACCTTCTCGTCCAACATCAGTGTCTGACCTCACAAATGCGCTTCTGGAAGAACGGTCAAAAATTCCCATAAACACACTCCTAAACCTTGTGGAAAGCCTTCCCAGAAGAGTTGAAGCTGTTATAGCTGCAAAGGGTGGGCCAACATCATATTAAACCCTGTGGATTAAGAACGGGATGTCACTCAAGTTCATGTGCGTGTGAAGGCAGACGAGCGAATACTTTTGACAATATAGTGTATTTTTAGGGGTGCTTGAGCAAAAATGAACTTGTACTTGACGGTGTACCTTGAATAAGTTTTTTCCTTGGGAAATGTATGCATTCGTACATTTTCATAATCCAGTGTTTTAAAACAGATAAAAAAAATAAGATGGCTGGAATCAGGGCAGGGGTATGGAGTCAATGCAACTTACAATGTCACTGCAATGGAATAAATGTTCCCTGTTAATAATGTTAATGTTAATAACGTACCCTAACTGAGGGTACTAAAGGCATACCCTTTAGGGTACCACCCCAATGATCAGAATCAGAATCTTTATTCACCAAGTACCAGAGGCATAAGGAATTTTTATTGGCGCAGGTGTCAACATAGAAATAAATCCAATGAAGTAAATATAGAAAAAGATACATTCTATACAAAAAAAGGATGTGCAATGGGAGACAAAAGTACAGCTACAAGTACTGGAGCACTGCAGTATATATATATATATATATATATATATATATATATATATATATATATATATATACATATACACATACAGGTAAAAGAATTTAGCAAATGTAAATGGTAAATGTAAACATATTTAGAAAATATTTACATTGCAACAAGTTAAACTGCATATGTGCACTGACTACAGTAGAGGAAAGTGAGAAAGGTTCTCATGCAGAAGGATTATGGCATGAGACAGACAGTAGTTATGTGCCTTACAATGTATGCACGTGGAGCAGTTTACAGTGATGTCAGCCATGATTTTTCTTACCCTCTTCCTCATTATAGATGAGTAAAGCTCTGCAAGGGTGGAAAGCAGTTAATGATTTTCTCTGCTCATCGCACCATTTACTGCAGTTTACACTTGGCATGCAAAGACATAGAGCCAAACCAGATAGAGTTGGAGGATGTGATGATGGACTATATTATGGTAGTGTAAAACTGGACAAGTAGTGCTTGAGGCAGCCAAAATTTCTTGTGCCAGAAAATACAAGCATTGCTGGGCCTTCTACATAAGGCCTTCTACTGACGCTGATGTCTATTAAAATGATCATAAGCACAAAACACTAAAGGCAAATAATTCCCTTCAGGTAGAACCGAGTGGCTCTGAAATAACTTTTTACAAACAAGCAAAGTTTCAGTTTAAGATTTATTTGTAACTTAGTTACAAGTTTAAGATTAATAGAAACTTGCTTTAAACTCAGGTTCACAAATGAGTTTTCCTTTACTGTATTCCATCTGTAGATCTCTGTTCATAAACATAAACTA